CTGTTTCGGATAACCTTAAAATCAGAGAAAAGTCTTCGAAATCGCCATCTGAAATCATCTCTTTCATTGGACTCTAATCTAACTTTGGCTACAATCTCTGTGGACGATAACTCGGTACTTGTACCACTTATTACTTGGAAAGACGACATTGGGCCGTATTGTATACTTGCTTTTCGGCCCAATTTCATTAGTTTAGAGGTGTGAAATATAACCGACCAAGTTTTTGGCGCCGCTGCCGGGGATTGGCAAGCTAAAGTTTTATTTTGAGTAAAGTAAAAGATTTGATTTTTCTTGTTCCGTTTGAATTGTTTTTAAAAGTGGTGTATGCCAAGAACGTTTCGTGGTGAATTTTTCGAATTTGATCCAGACATTGAGAGGACGTTTCACCATAGAAGGAGGGCTCAGAGAGCGTTTCAAGCTCTACTCCCTCCCAACATGGAGTTACCTGCTCCCAACAATCCGGGAACACATAATTTGGAAAACCAACCACCAATTTTTGGGCAAATACCACCATTCCAGAATTTTCACCATGGAAACCCCCATAATGAGAATGATAATAATTTGGACACCGAATCAGATCCTATTGAACACCTAAGGGCTGAAACTCCAAATATCATTAATCTGGCAAATCCCAAGAATGGAAGGATTATGGACTACGCTATCCCAGATTTTGAGCAGTTGAATTATGGGATAGTCAGACCGCACATGACCGCTCTCCATTTCGAGCTAAAACCGATCATGTTTCACATGTTACAGACTAATGGACAATTTGCTGGACTGCCCTCAGAGGACCCACATTCTCACTTAAAGTCTTTCATGGAAATCACAGATGCCTTTCTGATCCCAGGAGTGTCAAATGATGCTCTTAGACTTACCTTATTTCCATTTTCATTACGGGATCGGGCAAAAGCGTGGTTTAACTCTTTAACACCAGGATCTGTGCCATCATGGGGTAACATGGCAGAATTTTTTTTGAGAAAATATTTCCCACCAACAAGGAACGCTAAATCCAGAAACGAAATCTGTCTTTTTAAACAACTGGATGATGAAGCTGTTCCTGACGCGTGGGAAAGGTTTAAAGAGCTGTTGAGGAAATGCCCACACCATGGCATTCCGTACTGCATTCAACTCGAAACGTTTTACATTGGGTTAAGTCCCATGGCGAAACAAATGCTCGACGCGACTGCAGGCGGAGCCTTCACAGCTAGTACCTACAATGAGGGATACGAGATCCTAGAAAAGATATCAGCAAACAATGGGCATTGGGCTGACCCACGTGCCCAAACACAGAAAAAGACTGCGGGAATACATGAGGTGGATGCATAC